CAGAAATGGTAAAATTTGCATCTCTCTTGCCCTGTTTTCCAGTACTTCTCAATCAGCTTGTTTGCATGTTACCTTTCCTTTCTAGGTTTGGTTCTCTGCCACTGGCTGGGCTCTGCTTTGTCTTTCTTAAGAGTAACATCAGCTTTGAGGTCTCCTTTGCCCCCTCAGCCCCTGTGCTTTGCTGACAGTGCTCTGTGTTTCCAGCAGAGGCTGCCTTTGCAGCTAACAGGGTTCCAAGGTGTAAGGGTGAACTGTTTTTTCTCCCTCTGGAAGACCCTTAGACTTTTCCCTTTGATAGGTGAAGCTGAACTGAGCATATTTAACAAGCCCACAGCTCCCAGGGGTTTTCCATTGCAATTCAGCCACTTCTTCCCCCATGGCCAAGATGCAGGAGGATGCATCCCTTCTCTCCTGAAGTCCAGTCCCATCACAATCCCTCTGCCACTGAGCAGCAGAGGCAAACGGAGACAGTCCTGCAGAGGGACTGTGGCCGGTCTGGCCTCCCCAGCTGGAGTGTTAGCTCACAGGCAGCTGGGAGGAGAGTGGGCCAGGAAAGGCTGTAGCACATGTAGGTGAAAACAGACACACAGAGAAAGGCTTTAGATGTTGCCGAAGCCTGGATGTTGTAATAACATTTAGTATGTCTATTCTTTTAAGGCTCAGATGTAAAACTTGGCTTTTTTACCCCAGATATGAGGAATCCCTCTCAGTATACCTGGAGATCTAGCAATGAGCACTGTTTTGGAGCCAGAATGTTTAAAAAAGGGGCAGTTGGCCAGAGAGCAGAGCAGAGCCACTGCCCTCACAGAGTGGTCCCTGTTGCTACATCCCACAGTACCTCCATGTTTGCACCCCGGGGTGTTACAGGAGCTCATTTGAGGCACACAGGCTGCAATAGTGGGACCTACCCAAAGAACTTGACCCCGGCTGTAGGTAAATGTGCACAGGAGCCCTCATCCCGGGGTGCTGAGCTGGGGGCACAGTGCAATGCTTGGGCCCCTTCGGGCATCGCTGGGGCTGTCTGTGCTCCTGTCAGTGAGGGAGAATCTCCCACGGCCATCTCTGTGCCAGAGAATGTTTGCCTGAGGCTTCTTTGGAAAAACATTCCGCTTCCAAAGTGAGTATTGCTTGGAGTGAGCGTGCTCCCCGTGCTGCTTTGCCTTTTGGGCTGGTTTGGGGTATTTCACTTCACTACCCACGAGTCCGTGTTCAGGCCCCCGTGTACTGGGTGAGCAGGGGAGTGGAAAGTTCCATATCCTCGGCAGTCCCCGCTGCTCTCTACTCATGAAGTAGCAGCTCTCGGAGTCGGGACAGCAGGGCAACTCCCGACGCCAAAGCCGCCAGCCCGGTGTGACCGATCCCAGCACCCCATCTCCGTGTGACCGACCCCAGTCCCCAGATCGGTGTGACCGATCCCAGCCCTCCATTCCCATGTGACCAACCACAGCGCCCCCATCCTGGCGGGACCGATCCCAGCTTCCCCATCCCGGTGTGACCGATTCCATCCCAGCGTGACCGATCCCAGCTTCTCTACCCCGGTGTGACAAATCCCAGCCCTCCATCTCGGTGTGACCGATCCCAGCCCTCCATCCCGGTGTGACCGATCCCAGCTTCTCTACCCCGGTGTGACAAATCCCAGCCCTCCATCCCGATGTGACCGATCCCAGCTTCGCCGTCCCGGTGTGACCGATCCCAGCCCTCCATCCCGGTGGGACCGATCCCAGCCCTCCATCCCGGTGGGACCGATCCCCACGCTCGCCGCCAGGTGGCGCCGTGGGGCGCGGCGGGTCCCTGAGGGCTCTGGGCTGGAGAGGGGCGGGAGGACCCGGAGCATTCCCGAGCAGCGCCGGTGATCCCGGAGGAGCCCCGAGGAGCCCCGGTGATCCCGGAGGAGCCCCGAGGAGCCCCGGTGATCCCGGAGGAGCCCCGAGGAGCCCCGGTGATCCCGGAGGAGCCCCGAGGAGCCCCGGTGATCCCGGAGGAGCCCCGGTGATCCCGGAGGAGCCCCGAGGAGGCCGGTCCGGGCGCACCGGCTGCACCACCTGCCGGCAGCCCCCCGCGCCGCCCCCCGTCGCTCCCCGCCGGGGCCGGGTGGAGCGGTGGCTTTGCCGGCACCCCCGGAACGACAAACGTACGGTCGGGATTGAGGGCTCGGCCGAAATGAGTGTTTGTAAAGCGTCGGGTACGGAGGGGCCCTGACCCTGCCCGAGCTGCTAGAGAGCAAAACCACTGTGAATTCGAACACTCCGTGGGTTCAGCAGGCGTGAGGAAGCCCCAACAGTAGGCAAGCGTGTGGTTATTGTACCTTACCTGTGCACACCCACGGCAGGTGTGCAGTCACTGTGTTACCTGTGTGCAGTCACTGTGTTACCTGTGCACACCCACGGCAGGTGTGCAGTCACTGTGTTACCTGTGTGCAGTCACTGTGTTACCTGTGCACACCCACGGCGGGTGTGCAGTCACTGTGTTACCTGTGTGCAGTCACTGTGTTACCTGTGCACACCCACGGCGGGTGTGCAGTCACGGTGTGTTACAGGTGTGCAATCACTGGGTGTTACCTGTGCACACCCATGGCAGGGCTGCAGGTCAAGTCCCCAGGGCGCTGCTGCCAACTGCACTGGAGCTGAAGCATCAGCGACACCTTTTGTTGAGGAGAAATCAAGTGTTAAGGTGCAGCACTGCAGAATTTCTGCCCCCTGGGGAAGTCGTTCTGTACGTGCCCATTGCTGAGGTCCTTAGGGCTGTTGGCATGTTCTCCACAAGGATTTAAGAAGGATCATTTACAAATGCCTAATTGAGTATTTTCTACCCTTGCCTCAAGTGGAATTGGGCCAGTTTATAAATACATGTCCAATCCTTTTCAGATACAGAGGAGTCTCAACTCAATTTAAATCTTGTGGGAATGAGTTCCATAGGTTAATTATGTGCTGTATGGAAAAGGATTTTATAATTCAAAATGTTGCCTTTGAAATTGCATTGTCATCTTATTCTTGTATTATTCAAAGAGGGTAACCAGTCAGCCCAGAGCTGACAACAGGACTTAAACAATATGTGTTGGTGTCAAAACATGTGAAGCATAAATGGGACTTGGTTACTGTCTACTCCGGTTAATGTCCAGATGCTTTCTAGACTTCCTTTAAATTTCTCTGTGAAAAAGTATTTCTTCTCCTCAGATCTGAGTTTTCCACCCTTTCCATTTCCTTACTTATCCCTGTGTTCAAACATCAAGACAGGAAAGAGCCAAACTTCTATCTCCTGTATTGATCCTATTCATTTCAGGCTGTGCTTCTATGAAGTCTTCTCTTACTCATTTCTTCTCTGTCACAAGAAGTCCTGGTCTTTCAGTCATAATTTGAAATTTCCCAGGCCCTGTGTTATCAACATATTTCTGAAAATGAAGTAGCCAACAGCTTCAGGGCTGGTGTTTTACTCTGAAGCAGGCAGGGCTGTGATCTCCCTCCCATCTACTTAGCACTGCCGATGACTTTTTTCCCCACAAGCTAAAGAGTAGCTGCAGAGTTTCACATAATTACAGCTGTACAGCACTCACATATCTCAGGTTTCTACAAAGATTCTTTTGTTTCACTGTCCTATACCTCAAGCATCCAGGCACCTTGTTGCCTTCATTGACCATATGCATTCCCATGAAGGCTTTCCAAAGCTGTTTGCAGTAATACCCAGGTAGATTTCAGCTTGGCACCATTAACTGTGAGCAGCACTGTCTGGAAACAGCCATGCCTTATTGCTTTACCCAAGTACAATTATGTCTTAAAATGCCCAGACTGGGCTGGCCTTTATTTTATCCCCTGTAATTGAAATTTGGCTTGAAGTGTTTCTAACTACAGCCAGTAAATAGAGGCAAAACCCAATCCCTCAGCAATAACTCATTCCCCCATTGTCCAACAGTGTCTGCAATGATTTATTTGATGACTGTTGCTTGGCCGTGTAGGAGATGAGCTGAGCAGTGGGAATGACAGGAGAACTGATGAAAAAGCAGGTTCAATTTAAAAGCAGCTGTACAATGTGGAGAGTACAGCAGAGATGAGTGTGTGTTGGAGGTTGAAACATGCATTTCTCAAAGGAGTAGGAGGGGAAATCAAAACATGTGTGTCTTTAAATAAGCTAGCATCCAGATTTTGTTACTTTTATTTAGGGTTATCCCAACAGGCCAGCTCTCAGACTTTATTGAAGTTTACTTTTGTAATGACTGGATTTTCTTCCTCTTTGGATTTTATCCAGAGAAAGTAGGGAGCAGCTATCAGTGAGCTTCCAGTAGTGCTCTGAGTAGCGGGCATGGCCGGAATATATGAAAATAAGATAGCATTACTCATTTTAAGAAGTGGCAAAATTTGGCCTGTAGATATCACCACTATTTTCCCACTTATCCAGAGTATTGGTCATATGCCAATACAAAAAGCTGCCAACTAAAACGTTTTAAGAAAGGAAACACTGTTTGCAGCCTGAAAACAAATGTTTTCATTTCCCTGAAATATGTGCTGAATATATATAAAGAAGACTCAGAAGTGTCTAGTGAGGTTTAACATTTTGTAATTGTATGGATGAATTTGTTAACCTTTTTCACACTTTGTTCTTTAATAGATGAACATTGTAACTGATACTATTTAGTTAGAAACAGTACTTAAACACTGAAAACAAGAGGTAACGTAATGCAGTCGGATAAATCCATTAGAAAGGCAATAGTATAACATTAAAATGCCACCACCATGAAGTCTTTGTTGGTTTAAAATTCCTTTGCTGTTCTGCCACTTTCTTTGTTTCTTTATGCTACTGTTTTTTCTTGTAACTGAAAACATCAGATGACCACGAGGGATGAATCTGCAGCAGTGCTGCCTCCCAGGATGTGTAGCTGCAGCCTCTAAGCCCAGTGTTGTGCAGCAGTAGGGATCCACGTGGCCGATTGTTTTGCAGACACAGTGGTGGCATATTTATGTATTTCTGAACTTGTTTTTCAGGGTCCCTGGCTGCCTGTGTATCATGGAGCTTGCTGCTTAACAACAGAAATAAAGCACTTGTCAGGCAGAAGCAATTGTGTCAGTGCAAAATGGAATTCGCAAGACTAAAGTTTACACGAGGTAACAACAAAATCTACTGTTCCATTCTATTGGGCAACAAAGGTAATTTGTTATGCAACATAATGAGGACTTGTGTGTGATAGCGGAGGCTCTTGGTTACAGGGCATTGGCATCAACAAGCCCATGCAGCTCATAGATATAAGAGAATTGCTATATGTAGCACTGAATTCAAAAGCTTTCTTGTTATTACGGGAGGAGTGGTTTCCAACTTAAAAATTGCAGAGTAAACAAAACCCTGAGACCAGTCCTGCAGTCCTTTATGGTCTGGGTAGGACCTTCCTCATTTCGTTTTGGGTTGGTCTGTGCCTCAGACTTGATAGTCAGCCTGGGGACCACAAGGTCAGGGTCACAAGTGTCATGCATTTCATGTGGTTCTGACACATTTGGCAAGTCTCCTGCCAGCCCACATAATGACCAGGGAAGAGGGAGTGGAGGGGGAGAAGTCAGATAGTCATAATGCCATTCACTGCTGGCCAGAAGTCCATGATGTCTGATCCCACATATTCCACTGCTGCTGTTAGCACATCCACTCCTAGAAGCCAGTTATCCTTCCTGCAGGACAGCAGTGGTCATTCACCTGTTTTGCAGATACACTGCAGCACGTGGGCTGTGTACGGAGCTGGGAATGGAGCTGTGGCCTATAAAGCAGTGAGATTCATCTGCTTTGCCCTATCATCTTTCAAAAGAAATCTACAGGCTGGTATGATGGGGCCTCTTGTTTATGATGACTTAGGCTGCTCTCTGCCTCCAGAGCTGGTGCTAGACTCAAAGATCCTGTTTGCTGGCATTCCACTGCTGTCTACAACTGCTTCTGTAACACCCTGTCCCATATGTGTTCTCCTGGCCCACACAATATTTCCCTTGCCATTCAGTTGAAAGAGAGAGTCTGGGAGCAGTCTCTTCCTGAGAGCTGTGAGGGAGAGAGTGGGCTCAAGCTTCACTGATAAATTAATACAGGAGAAATAAGAAATTAAGACTGTGCCACATGACCTGTAGAGTAGAGGACTAAGCTCAAATTGTATTGTTAACTTTGTCCTGGCAATCTGTGGGGTTGGTTCTATTTCTGTAGCATGCATATAACGTTGTACCTTATGGATGATATTCTGGAGCTGTCATAATCAAGCAAACAGTTTAATTCCACAAGTGCTGTGTTAATTTGGAGATAATGCTTGCTTTTTTCCTCAAACCACAGTCATGACTGGTTGGCCAGACCACGTTATGGAAAGCTGCTCCTGCAGAAAAGTCAAAGACCCCCATCCCCTGGTGTACTGTGCCAGTGGCAGGATGCTGGAGTTCTGACTGTGACAGTGACTCGAAAAGGGCCTGGCCTGTTTACTGCTACTCAGACAGGAGCCCAGCTTCTTAGGACAGTTAGGACAGCAGTACAAATAAAGGTAAGACACTGAGTTAACCACTATCTTGGCCAAGCTACTTTACCTCTCAGTGACTTGGGTTATATGGGACAGTCATCACTATAAACTCTGGTGCTTGAAGTTTAACCAAACAGACTGAAACATCTAAAGGAAAGGAGTGAAACAAGCTCTGCTTTAGTGGTTTATGGTGGAATGTCGGGCATGACACGCAGCCCAAGGTATTCAAACTAGGATGTGATTGAGAAAACTTTTGCTTGTGGTTCCAGACAGGTACTGTACTCTGTTTCCAGAGATGCCAGGCACCTGCCATTCAGCAGTGGCTTCCTCACATTATAAGGCAGGTGGGTTTCTTTGGGCCTATTTTCTTGTGTATTTTTTTTTTCACAGCCTCTTGAACAATATGGATCTAGTCCTGACTGAGATATTTTAGGAGCCACTATGACAGAAATATTTCATGATGATACCGGTTACTTTAATTGAAGATATGTTACTTTAATTACCAACCAAAGTAATTAAATTAAGCCTAACCAAATTAATATTGCATCGTAAGAAGCACTAAGATTCCATACTGTGAGGATAAGAAGCAAACAAACCAACCCTGTCTTTCATGCAGGAGATCCTATCTGGCATTTGCATAGATATTGTGTATGTAATTAAAGCCATCCTTAATGTGTCATGCTGTTATTGCAGCCCTTGCTATTTTGCAGCAGTTGCTAGATCTTACAATGAATGACTACAAAAATATCCCAGGGACTCTAGAAAGCATTACAGTGACTTTGCAGACAACGATTCTCTTAAAGTAAACCCCACAAGCATCCTTGCTTTTTCCCAGGGAAACATCTTGTTAGCATCTGTCAGGACGAATGCCATTTTGCCTCAAGAAAATGCTGATCCTGGCAGAGTCTGGGCACTGCGCACTGAGAGCTCACAGGTGAGTAAGTTGTCTGGCGCTTTCTGCAGTGCAAGTGCAGGGTGTTTTCAGACTCTCAGCGCTGTTTGGCAGAGCCTCGGGTCGTCCAGAGGTGAGCTGCCACGCTAGAAAGCCCTGGGTGAGCCGCCCTCCCGGAGGGGCCGCGCTTGGCTGGGCGCGGAATTGTGCAGCGATCCCGTGTCAGACGTGCCGCAGGGGTGTCTTTCCGCCTGAATGCGGCCACTTGCAAATGTTTTGCTGTTTCGTCCCTCTGCAGCCCTGCTTTTGGGACCATTTCAAGGTCAAGGCTGTTAACAGGGCTGCGAGTGCAACGCTTCCTCTCAGACTGCAGGGTCCGTGGCACCGGGGTGATTATTTATGATACTCTTATGCAGTTCCCAGTGCACTGAAATGTTGTTTTCCTCTGCACTTGCTCCTCCTGCCTGGGAGCCGCACAGTTCATGTGACTTCCATGCATCTGTCAGCCCTGCTGCCTGTCCCCCAGGGTCCCCAAGTGGGCAGCTGGGCTGCTCTAGCCTTTGGGGCTCTACCCCTGGTACTGTTCACAGGGAGCAGCTGGAGTGATTGATGCCGGGGATTGAAGATAGTTTCTGGTTCTGGTTCTTCCTTCAGCATAGGCAGCAAGAAAGCATCCACCTTCCAGCAGTGCTGAAACACTTTTGGCAACTTTACCCATCTCTGAGGTCTCTCTGTCAGCACCTCTTTCTCCCTCATTTATTCCTTGATCTCCTGCCCCTGTAGTAGAGGAAGCCCCACTACTTTCTCAGGCCCTTGCCCTGTTCTGTGGAGTTTTGCATTCCCCTTCCAACACTGCTGGAGTCAGGTACAGCAAGATGAGGGAACAGCTCAGTATAATGTTTAGCTGAATAAAGTATCACACACAGAAACTTGCACTGTTTCCATCAGCAGCTTACCAAAATAAGAATGAGTATAATTGTTCAAAAACCAAGTTAAGATGGATTTTCACATGTAAATATCTGGACTGAGATTTGGTTAGCAGCAGATGATGTGTGGAGCTGTGTGTTTTAGGCCTCTAGTTTACTGTCTTCAAGGTGCTGTGTTAGTGTCAGGCTCATCTGGGTCAGGATCGTGGAATTTGCTCCTTGGCAGGAAGCCTGCCCTCTGATTGCCCCCTGTGTGGATGGTTTTTCACAAATGGTGTATCTGTAATGTGTTGTGCCCAAACTGCACATAGAAAAGCCTTCTCAAAAGTCAGGAATTGTGTCCATGGTAAGATTTGACTGTAACAATTAAACCCCCCCACAATTAATAGATATTCCTTTAATCTACTTGCAGCAGGTGCTGCCACAAGTGAGTGTCAGAGACAGGATGGGTGGGGCTGTCAAGGTGACCAACCAACTTCAGTTGACCAAACTGGTAGTTTTAGGTAATCTAAACTGAGGTTCAAAGCAGGTGTGTTAGAGGTATTTGCTAAGTTCTAGGGCTCGATAAGTGCTGTGAGTAAGATGAAACTTTGAATTAAGCACTTTGAAAGTCATAACAGGTCGAGTATCTAATGAAAAATTAAAGAATGAATTAGTGGGCAGAAAAGAGTTCTCCCCGGAGCAATACCACGGTCCCTGAAAGCAGCCGGAGCCCCTGCGGGGGCAGTCACAGGCTCTCTGCTCAGCTGCCTGCGTCTTCTCCGAGACTGTGGCTTGGCTTACTTTTTATTTTGTTTGTTGTCAGCACAGGCTGAATTGAATAGGGTCCAAGTGAAAACAGTTACAATCTCAGGATCTGCCTCCAGGAGAGTTTCAGCTGCATTTTCAGAAGTGGCCGCGCACATTGCTGACAGCAAACTTCTCTGCTGGTAGTCAGTCATCTTATAGCCTTGTCTTACTTTCTTACTTCTTAGTGACAGAGCAAGAAACACTCAGAAATCTGCTGTGTTCATAACAGGCAAAGATCACGTACTGAAAAGGAAATGTTGGAGAGTAATGGACCGGTTTTGCCATGCATTTCCTCACCCGGGACTTGCGACTACCAGAAGAGACTGCAGATCCAGCAGCCCTGGGGAATGGCTCTGCCTCTCATCCTGCCACCTCCTTCCCTTTGCTCAGCCTGGCTCAGCTCATGATTTACTCCTCAGGCTTCCTACAGGGCTGCTCACTACCTGGGGATCGCTGCTGTGCTGCTGCTCTATGTGAACAGGCAGTTCTTGGCTGCTTCTCCTCTTCCCACAGTGAAAGCAAAATGCTGAGCACCCCTACTCCTACAGTTACCCCGTGCCAGGGCAGGGAGAGCTCTTGGTGGTATTGCCAGACACTAGTCTTAACACATCTTCTGCTCTATGTGTGTATGTGAGGGGATATTGGCTGTTTTGGGGTTTTCTTGTAAGATTCCAGATCTTTAAAGTTAAGCTAAGAAAAGAAAATGTCAGCTGTAAAAAAAACAAGACCCCCACTTATAGTCCTTATAAAAAAGTAAACAATTTAAATTAGTAATATATAATAAAATACAATATTTGCCCTAATCGTTGCAAATTAGAAATGAGATGCAGCTGTAACATAATATATCAGGCAGAAATTAACTGCTAATTAATAAGAAAAAGTCATGCTTTGCATGATTTTTGAATGCTAAGTATTGCCAATATCACCTCTTTAATGACTAAATTCAAGACTATGATACTGCTCTTTCCTCCAAATAATATTATAACAGTATGTAAAATATGTTTAATACTGTTAGTTGATTAGAATTGGACAAGCATGGACAAGCAAGAAATGCAGAACAGCACAAAGCCAATTCCTTGTGGACTTCACAGTAACATCAGGACATTCTCACTCCTTATCAGAAAATATGTAAATAGCTCCTGGCTCCCTTGCTTGCTCAGATAGTGAGGCAAGACCTTTTCCATAAGCCTTCTTCCAGGAAACTTGTCCTCCTCAAGGTGTGTGGTGAGGAATGATAGTAAAAAGAAAGAACATGAAGGATAAAAGGCAACACTAGATAACGACAGGAACAAAGGGATCCTGGGAAGCTGTGAGGGAGAGGCCTGGGTTGTCAGGATCTAACAAATGCTGAATACACTGATAAGGTGAGATGAAACCCTGGCCAGGAGTACGTGAGTTAGGCCAGGCAGACAAGTTGTCTGCAGGCTGAAAAATCCAACTGTGGTAGTGGACATATAAAATAAGATTTCTTCACAGCAAGGGCAAGAAAACGAGCAAGCCAGACTTGTCTCTGCTGCAGCTTAGTAATTATTGTTACCCTTTCAGGCAATGTTTAGGTGCCATAGCTGTGTTCAGTGCATGGGGAACAGCCTTGGAAAGCATCATCTGTACAGGGATGGCTGGTGGAGGATGGAAAAAGTGAAGTATTAGCCATGCTCTGTGGGAGGAAATTGTAAATTTGTATTAAGGAGCTGTTTTAGGGACACTCATTGAAGAATCAGAGCCAGCAGTACCCTTGCTGCTCTTTCTTCTCTGAGATTTTTAAGTTGATTTTTAAGTTAGCTCCTTTGGCACATATGGTCATATCAGAATATCCAGAGGAAGTAGAGTCCTTTCAAAGCAAGGTTTAGCCCACAGATGCCATAAAAGCTGCTGGTAAAGTGCTGTCAAAAGTCAGTCATGGAGAGCTATACCTCAAAATCTGTAAATTGTGATGCAGATATAAACTCAAAAGCACCAGCAGCTGAGACTTACTAGTGGAAAACACTTCACAAGGTCCCAAGCAAAACTTTTTCCTAGTAGTTCCTTCTCAGCTGCTTATAAGGTTTTCATCACATCTGCCATTGATTTATGTAGGTGTTAGGGTAGTTGCCTGGATTTAGATTATTAAACAACCACTTCTAGATACAGAGGTGAGTACTGGCTCTTCTCTGTACTGAAAGAAACCAGCTGGATATATTCTTTTTCCTTGAAGAAGGCAGTTGTTGAGGAGAAGTTACAAGTACATTGGGGAAAGAAGCAAACCACTGTGTTTTAGCCTGGATGAGTTCACTCACCCCATTTGTCGAGTGGGAAAGAAGTTTGCAATGGTGCAGAGAGTACCACGAGTGGGCAAGGGGAGGCAGTGTCTTCCCTGGGGTGTGGGTTTATGCCAGATAAAATTTTGACTGAACTCTGACTTTTCTGTTTCTGTGGCTCCAGGTGGAAGCTCTGTGTGCAGAGTGCCCCTGAGCACTCCTCCATATGTGAGAGTGATGTTGCAATAGGGTGATAAAACTGGTAGGCACAGAAGCTTGTTCGAGGGGAGGGGAAGCAGCACCCTGCAAGAAATGACAAGGAACTGCCAGCTGGATTTTCTTCTCTGGCAGTGATGAGGTAGAGCTTTGCTAATTCCAGGGGGAAGGAAGAGATCTGGCACTGAGGATCTGCAAAGCAAACCCATGAGCATAGAGAGGAGCCTGGAAAAGGAATCTCCAGGTGGAGGCTGCTTCAGCTTCCTTTGTTGTTCGTGACATTGGTTTTCCTGCCCTGCTCAGACCTTTATTTGTGACCAGCACAGCTGTAGGAGAGGGCTTGCAGTTGCTGTTGTTAGTTGCAATCTATCGCCCCCACCATGCACCAAAATAATGTCAGGCTTCAAAAATATAATGTTGCCATGTTTTTAGCTTATATTCCCACTTTGTAGGTTCAAAAATTCTCATTAAACCTTTCTGCAAGTACTAAAATTTACAAGAGACCATTAACTTGAGTTCCTCTGCTGATGAACACCATTCTTGCTGCTTATGACAGACAGTAAAACAGGAATACAAGGTTCAGTTTGCCCTGTGGGATGTTCCAGGCCTCCTGCTAGGGCATTTTTTGGATTCAGGCTTTTCTTAGAAACCATGTTTGCCTTTGGTCCAGTGATTGAGGTCACCCCTTCTGTGGGGGCTGCTTATTGTCCTTTTAGCTCTAACAGTTGCCTCGTGTCTGCTGGCAGACGCCCTGGCCTTCCCTCAAAATACAACTTGCAATCCACAGTGCCTTGCCACCTGACACAGTGTCAAATGTGATGACTGAATTTGCACATCCGTGACCACTATAC